CTTGGAGTCAATAATGACTCCGAGATCCCTTTCCGCCTCTGTGCTTTCAAGAAGGGAACTCCCCAGCCTGTATGTATGCTGTGGATTCCTTAAATCCACAGTTCCCTTCCAATCTCTAGGGGAGGGACGTAGAAACAGCATATAAGGCTCTGTGTGAAGCCTTTCTCTGCCTTTTGTGAGCTGTCTGTCTCGAAGCAACAGCGTGTCAAATGTACCGGCTGCAGTGGCTGACTTCCAAGTCAGTCTCTTGCTAGTCTCTCCTCTTGGAAAGGATTGGATACACCTTACTAATTACCCTTGCCTAGAATCTCTCTACTTATCCCTATCCAACCCATTCCTTTCAACTTATTCTTCTGCCCAAATCCTCTTATTTGTTCTTGTTATTCCCCCCGAGCCCCCTCCCCCTCCCCACACACACACACACACTTTTTAAAAAGAAAGCTGTGTTTTCCCTGGAAGTGTGTCATCCATCACTGTTCAGGAAAGCACATATATTACACATAAACACATATAAAACAGATAGAAGATATATTACACACACAGTATAATAAACAGATAGAAGATATATTACAGCTAGAAAGTATATTACACCCACACAAATTTTCCAGCACAGCAAACATTATGAAGCATGCTGGAAAGGCAGGTACCAGGTCTTTTGGCAGGGGAGGGAGAGGGACTAGAGGAGGTAGGGGGAGAGCTGCAAGTCCCCACCCTCCCATCCAAACATAGATGCACCCTCTTTCCTGGCAGCGATAAGTCTTCTACTGCCAGTGGGAGCAAGGAGGTGGGAGCAATACCTATCACTACACCTATACCACCTCCACTAACATGAGAAATAGCCAGCAGCACCAGCATGACAGTCTCCTCCACCCTAATTTCGGCTCCCAGCATGAGCCTCCTAGTGCCAGAGGAGAAGCTGGATCTGGAAGCAGGGGAGCTGAGTGCTATAGCCAGAGAAATTCTAGAGAAGGAGGAGGAATATAAGTTTGTGCTCCACACCCCTCATCGTTATATCCAGTAGATTTATGAAGTGAAGTTTGTAGGCTTGCCTATAAAAGGTATTTTGTAAATTCCCTTTGAGGATCAGAATTAAGAGATTGGAGAGAGAGTGGTTTTCTTGTGAGAAATGTGCCACCACTAGTAATTGGGTGTTCTTGTCTTTAATAGATGTCCGGTGTGCATTCATTCTGGTGCACAGTCGTTGTTTGGTCTCTCCTACGTATTTTCTATCAGGTTATTTGATACACTGGATGAGATGCATAACATTTCTAGAGGTGTAACTGTAAGATCGAGGAATGGTGATGGTTCTCTTGTGGAGTGTAGTAATTGTGGGGGTACTGGAGATATGTTGGCAGGTTTTGCATTTCTTGTCATGTCATGGTCTGGATCCAATCAGCGTGTTTTGGGGCTGTAGAAAGTTTGCTTCTGATGATGAGGTTAACAAGGTTCGGTGCTTGTTTGAATTTACAAAACACTTTTCATAGATGAGCCTATGAATTTTACTTCAACAACCTCCTTGATACAAAAACTCATGGAGTCAATATAGACATTGGATTTATGACACACTATAACCTGCCTGACATCTGACTCCCCAGGTACCTCTCCACTTTTACCTGCTTCATCCCCTCCCCTTGCAGCCTGTTTCTAACCCCCCGACACCTCAATTTCACATTTTCACTGACTCACTTTCTTGCCTGAATACCAGCCTCTGGCTTCTTTACTATTCATTCCATTTTGGAAGAATGCACACACACACACCAACTGCAGATGCTTCCTCAGCCTGATGAAGGGTTTTTAAACCCCAAAGCTTGCCAAAATATATTTCTCCAACTATTCAGATAGTCTAATAAAATATATCATGTCTACTCAAAAATCCTTGCCTGCCTGTTCCTTAGAACAACATGGCTACAACCAGAAATCCAGTTAACATACACAAGTGACATGAGTTTTGCTTTCAACAGTGTGAGGTATACTTTCACAAAAGCCCCTACACCTATCTCCTTGAAACCTGGCAGACTTCATGCCCTTAGAAGGGGCTACCATCCCTGCTGCTTTCATCCAATTCCACAAAAAAATGACAGTTATAGATATTTTAGTGATTCCCCATTATAGTCTATGGCCATGTGACCAAATCACACCAAATCAGTGCCAAATCAATTCGGGACAGTGATCCGAATCACCAAATCACTGTCCCCTGAATTGGCTGAGTCTGAATCAAATACTGGCTGCTTCACACAGGCCTAATGTTTATCTTAACTTTTGTGGTCTGGCTATGGTACATTTTTATGGTGTAGTTTTATGATACACTCTGCTAGTTTGATTTCATTATGGAGTCATAAAGCATCTTAGAATATTAGTCAGTTAATCTGTGTTTACAGCTACTTCTTTAATTCACCAAAGAAGTTCAGAGCAGCTGAAATTTACCCTTTTGTTCTCCAAACTCCCTCAACCCATTTTTTACTGAATTGGAACTCCTGAACCAATTAATAGGTTTGCTTGTAAAATCTCTGAGTACCCATTTAATATTTAAAGAGTAAGTTCAGAGAGTTTTTGGAGGATGTGCCATATTTTTCTTACATGATAAGGATTTGCATTTTTAACACTGAGACAGATCTATCTACTAAAAATGACCACCAGTAAAAGTTAGCTAGATAATGAAGGCAAGTACAAAGCACAGATAGTAAATACTGTGCTGCATGTCAACCTTATTCTTGAAATCATTGGAAGCTGCATTGTTTAAAGACATAGCGAATTTGGTCATGAGAGTATTAGGAAGGGTGAAAGTATTAATATATGCATGTCTGCATCACAGTATAAAAATAGGACTGATTTATTTTACAAACTGTTGGTTACTCTTGATCCTATAACTCTCTTATATCATCCCTAACTGTATAAATTACACTTCCTTCATGCACCCATTGAATGCCAATGAAGTACATATTGCAGTACTTTACCAGTTACCAATCATCTATATTGGTTATGCCACCACCAGATTGGGCCAATAGCTGTGAAATAGCCCTGAAATACACAAATCTTCAATACTATGCACAGTGCACCATTTTAATGGCTGGGCCTGGTTGGTGTTTTACTTCTTTTTGCTCTTACAAGCACTTACTTGCAAGAAGTAAGTGGT